TTGTTTCTAAATATTCGATACGTCACCTACGGAATACCCGTAGTTAAAAAATCCAAATGTTAAACGATTACATGAGTCACGGAATATCGTTTGGTAAAGAGATATCATCGTTACTAATGAAAAATCTGTTGCTAGTTATAGTAGTTGAAGTGAACTACTTTTACCAATGGATAATTCGTTTCTAATTACCAACGGATGCAATACATCACCTACGGAATATCCGTAGGTGAGAGGTCCAAACGTTAAACGTTTACATGGGGACAAAATATCCTTTAGTAAAGAGATATCATTATTATCAATGAAAAATTCGTTGCTGATTATCGTAATTGAAAGTGAATTATTTTTACCAATGGATAATTCATTTCTAATTACCAACGGATGCAATTCGTTGGTAATCTTTCGCAGGTGAAAATTTGTTTTTTTAGTAGTGTTTGTGTTAGATAATGTTGATATGTCGTTAATCAATTGAGATCAACCAAATAAATGAAGTGCTAAGTGCTCAATTTGATATGAAAGACCTTGATCGTGCTAGAAGAATTTTGACAATGAATATTGAAGAGAAAAGATCTAAAATGTATTGATTTTGAGGCAGATTTAAACATTTTAATGTAAGTTTTCTATGCATGATTTAAAATCTGTAAAATTGTTTTAGAAAGTCATTTTAAATTAAGTAAATAAAAATGTTCTATTGATGAGTCTGATAATAAATATATGCAGAAGATACTCTATTCTAATGTTGGGGCTCAATTATGTACAAAATGGAGTCGACTAGGTCTGATGTAGGCCGTGTAATTAATTTATTGAGCAGATTCATGGCGAATCTTGTAAAGTTTCGAATTTTATATTTTTTAGTTTGGTTGTTGTAGCCCATTTAAAAAACAAGCTCTAGAGGCTCGATCCATTTAAGGTAAGTGGAATTTACAGTAGACCAGAGTTTTAAACTTCAAATTTCAAAATTAAGATTTACTATTTTTCTTTTTAAAAATCAGATAATAAATGATGTTTTAAATATTAATAATTATGTTACAAAATATTTAATCCATCCCACCTAACTTATACTCAACCACCCACACAAAATCCTAATTATTTTCATACTTTCTATTATCTCTCTTTTCTCTCTATTCCACTCGAAGCCATCGTTGGGAGCCATTGTCAGAGAGCGTCGCCAACAACATCATTGCACGATCTGCTGCTATTGCACGTTCCTCCTTCTTGCTCCATTCCAGATCTATTTCTTTTTATTTCTAATTTTGATGGCCTACGATTTCCTGTGTTGTTTGATTGTGGTGTGATGTAAGTTCAATGTTGTACTGTGTTGTGTGCGGTGGTGTGTTGTGTGAGATGGTGTGAGGCGTGCGATGCGAGGTGGTGGTGGTGGCTGTATGCGTTGGGGAGAATGTATGTGTCCATTTATTTGGATGGTCATGTTGGTGAGAATGAAGATGTTCAATGATGATGGAGATGGTATAGATGGTGGTACACGCGATGGTGTTCGACAATGGTAGATATGGTCTAGATGGCGGGTGCACGCTAGTGTGTTTGGCAGTGGTAGAGATGGTGTAGATGGTCGTTTGGGGGTCACAATAGTTTTAGTGGAGTTTGGGCAGTGGTGGTGGTGATGATGTGAACAGTTTGATGTGATGGTTCTGGGTGGGTAGGTGGTGGTGATGGTGCTCGTGGTCGTGGTCGTCTTGTTTGGGTGGTGATGACTTTGTTGGATCCAACGATGGTGAAGATATGTTAGATCTGGTGGTGGTGGATCCAGAGTTGGTAGGGATGGATTTGGAAGTGCATCTGGCGCTGGTAGACTAGTTGTGCTTGTGGTGTGGTGGGGTAGTGCTTTTGGCAATGGCGATTTTGGTAGCGATGCGGTTGGTAACAGTGGTGAGGTGGAAGTCATAAGTGTTGACAATGGTCGCAAATGATTTGGTTGACTGTGACTATTAAATTTATTAATCTATGACCAATAAATAATATGTAACTAATGAAAACGATAAATTATGACAAAGAAATAATGTGTGGTCTAGAAAATTGTTAATATATGATAGATAATTTGATACTGTATAAGAAGTTGTGACTTATAATATTTGTTATTTGTATCTTATAAAAAAATGTTACTTATAAATTTTTGATTTGTGATCGATGAACAAATTTTGCCATGTAAATTTTTTGAATTATGACCGTAAAATAATTTGTGGCATAAAAACTCTGATTTGTGATTGAAAAATAATATGTAATTAATTAAATTGTTAATTTGTGACATTAATATTTTTTAAATGAAATATATATAATTAATTAATTAAATCATAAATAAATTATAATAAATATTTGAAATTTGAAACCTTTGCTCTTAATTTTGAAATAAGTGATATTTAACCTCTTAGTTATGAAGCTTTCCCTTTAAGGTAAGGAAAGCCCTAGGCATCGATTATTTAAAAATTTAAAGATTTAAAATAGTAAGCTTAAAATAAATTTGAGTATAAATTTGCGTAGTATTTCACATAAGCAACTTGAGTTCGAATCACCGTGCAAGTGTTTTTATAAAAACATTTTTTGAGTTAAAAACTCATTTTTTATATTAAGGCACAATTATGTCAAGTTAATTGGAGGAATTCAGTTTCTGTTAATGGAGATTCATGAAGATAGGTTACAAGTCACATAAGTCGTTCAATTTTCACCACATAGGTGTTTTTATTAAAAGAAAAAAAAATAAAAATTATAAGAATTATTTTTGGCTTAAAACTTTTTAAACTCCACTTAAAGGCTCATTTAACAAGATTTATTATAGCATAATACCTACTATTGAGTTTGTCATAAAAAAAAAAAATGGAGGTTACAAGAATCGAATTGTCACTTTTTTAAAACCATTTCACCTCAAATTCGAATTTCACTTTCTTCCTCTCAAACTTGTGTTAGTGTTAGATTATTTACAAGAAGTTTGACCACAAGTTTAATAATTGAAAGCAAAGAATTTTTCATTTCATATCAAGAATCGGTGTAGGTAGTGCTAATTATTTAGCATTTTTATTCGTGATATGTATATATGTATGCTTGTGATGTATATTATAATTTTTGAAGCTATGAATTGAGAGGTTTATATATAGTCATAACCTGTTTTTTACAATCTCCATGGATTATTCGGAATCATGAATATGTTAGTATTTATATACGTGAAAATGTTAAATTCTTTTCTATTACTTTGTATATATGTGTATATGTTACTGAACTTAAGGGCACACTAAGTGATCTAAAATTCTACTGAGCTTCAAGCACACACATTCTATGTTGACAATTTTTTCAAATTAAATAATGGTCAAGAAATTGGAATTCATATGGATTTGCAGATGATTCGAATGGAGATAGGTGCTTCATTTTTGTAGTTAGTCATTATTAATTATGTTTAATTTCTAAAAGTTGTTAGCTTATCTTTACTTTTTGAAAAACTTTTTAGTTATTTTTCTTAATGTGAACATTATAATTTTAATTAATAAGTATGTAGTTAATTTAAGTTGCTAAAAGTCTAATCCCTTGTTTGAGCCCCATTTTTCATCAAAATACATTTTTTAATAGTGGTTTGCTATCATTTCAACCACACATTTTCGATAAAATAATATTACACGCAAACAAAAAAAATTTCTTTATTTTTTAACCCACATTCTCTATTATAATACTATTTCAAATAATTGTTTTTTTTTTTTTTTTTTGAGAGAAATGAGGCTCAAACAACCCCTAAACCTTTTGCTTGTAAATAATAAAATTTTAGCTTTCTATGTGAACTTTGTTTTGCCGCCTTGAACCGAATTCTTTAAGTTTTTGAATAAAATCAGTGAGAATGGATAGCCTTATGTCCTCTGTTCATAGGCTTTGGAATCAAATCATTTTGGAGATTGTTAAGAAAAGTAATTACATTCAAAGGCGAATCCAAGAAAATTTTTAGTATAGTGGGATTATTTTATTTTATTATTATCATTTTGACTATGAATTGAGCAAGGGAACGAGCTGTAACACAGCTCAATCCTCCCAAGATCCATTAGTGTTGACATTTTTCATGCACTATGACAAGTACGCCCGAGAGAAGATTGGTAGCATGAGTTTGAACGATTTATTAAGAGGTTAAACATTGTTGTAAACTCAGAAATTTTAATATGTGATTTTTAGATATGTTTCTAAAAATATTAAATGAATTTCATGACATTCCAAATCCAACTGGTAATCCAAATATACACGAACATTATGTTGCATAGAGATCAGGGTCAAAGAGAATAAGTTTGTTGAAAAATTTAATTTAAGTGCTTTTTTTATTTTATTTTATTTTAAAAACTTAACATGTTAAGTAGCAAACCAAACTTAAAATTTGGGGCGTTACAATTCTAGCCTTGAATATTGAAAGCTTATAAAGTGGTTGTTTAGATACTTTAAAGGAACATCTCAATTATGATTGATGTTTAAGACCCGTAGTGAAGGGATTAAACATAAGGATTTAGTAGATGCAAATATTGTTGGAGATGGAGACAATAGGAAGTCAATTAGTACTTATATTTTACTTTGTGTTAAATTTTGATAAGTTGTATAATTCTTTTCAAGTTTTTTCTAATAATCAATATTTACAAATATAATTAGTTTAAATTTAATTTGGATTTTATAATAATAATAATAATAATAAAATTTAATTAATACTCAAAATATAATAAAATATTTATAAACTAAGACTGGGGAGTTCCTCACACCATCAAACTTCGACCTCGAATATAATTATTTCAGTTACACTACGACTATACTCATCGATTGGTAAAGCTAAATATAAAATTTTAGTAGAATTCGATAAATTTAAATATTTATTTTAATTTAAACTTTATGAAAATTTTAAGTCACGCCGAATAGTGCTTGATATTAAAGACTTGTAGGCAGATTAAAATGTTATCATTCTAAAATTAAATTAAATGAATAGTTTATAGAGTTTGATGATAATTAGCGTTTAAGTTTCAGACACACCTAAATACCGTTACAGCACGAAGAGTTCACTATTTTTTTCGTGTAAAAGCTTCTAAGCTAAGCCTGCAGCGATAATAGATCTTTCCCTCTCTCTTTTACCCTGCTGTAAGCCTGTAACATTTGTAGTGATTCCCTCTATCCAAAAACCCACCTCGAATTTAGCCTCCCATTTCAATTTTTCAGTTCTTAGTCTCAATTTTTTTTATCTGGGTATAACTATTTCTTCAATAAATAAATAAATGAGGCGCCGAGGCTCAGATTTTCGGCGACCAGTGAGGCGGCGAGTTTCGAATGTATTTTGGTTATCGCTTTGTGGGTTTATGATTTTGCTCTTCATTGTTTTGTTAGGCCAAGAGAAACCACCCACATCGAGATCGGCTCTTATTAAGGTAATTATCGATCTCAAATCATATGTGACGGTTCTTTTGTCCTTTTCTGCTTGAACTAAAGCACTGGCATTAATGGGAAGATATTCTGGTTCCAGTTTGGATTTCAATTTTGGGTTACTTGGGATTGAATTGATTCTGATTGTTGTATAATTGGTTGTGCTTTATGCGTTTCGGTTTTGATATAAATGAGCTATTTTAGAGCTGGAAATCTGTATAAATAGTGAAGAAATGAGTGGATTGAATGGAAGTGTAAGATAATTACACCTTGGTTTTGTCATTTCAGTTGGTTATGCTGCTGTTATATTGTCTTAATCACTAGAGGTGTTTGGGTAGTTCTGAAGCTCCATTGTTCAATTGTAAAATTGGACAAACTCGTGGACTTTACCGTTATTATGCAATAATACTAGTCAATCTGTGTTATAAGAACAAGTTGGCAATGAAATTACTAGTGATGCAGATAATAATAATATCCAATTCACATCAACTATCTATGATGCGCAGACACTTTTATTAGGATAGTATGTTCGTGTCCAGCACATCTTGTTGGACCCGACACTCCTCGGACACTCAAGGACACGTATCTAAGAAGTCTGTCCTTGTCTCATTTTTTATATATATTGTTAAATTGTAGAAATTGAATTGCTACTCTAGAGACACCTTTCGGACAAGTGTCTAACGAGCCATATGTTTGTCTTATATTAAAAATTATAAAGATTAAGATATAATATATGAATTTAAAATGTTAAAGAATTTAATTGGTCATGTTCCCGACGTGTTCATGCCCTACTTTTTAAGAAATCAAGCGTCGGTGTGTCCATGTCATGTCCTTACCGCGTTTCCATGTTTGTGCTACATAGACTGCTACCCACTAAAACTGATGGTTGAAGGTGTTTACGTGTATATACCCTTATACATGGATAGGTCAATGGTCTCACCTCTTCTAAGAACTGTGTGGTTGAGAATTTGGGAACAGGAGTGTTGAGTTCGGATTGGAAGTATCTAAAATTTAGTTTGGTGAAGACTACACTGCTGTCAACTAGTTCTGATAAATTTTGTCGTAGAATATATATGAGGCCCCTAAGCTCTCTTGATTGGTGTAAAAGCTGTAAATTTATTTTTGCCTTTGAGGAGTTATATTAATCCATCTTTACGTCAATTTTGATTGCATTGAGAGATTATGGTTTTCTGGTGAAGTTATTAATGAAGATCTAATCTGTAAGTAGTGCAAATGCTGATTAGGTTTTTTCTTATGGTCCGAGTATTTTATACCTTTTTGAAGATGACCCATATTGATGTGAAATGTTTTATTGGGGTTCTTCTAATCTCTTCATCTATAGTAGTATATTGCTGATCATTCTTGAGTCTAGGTAGCTGGCCAACATACCATTCATTGATCAATAAGTACTAGAAAGCCCCAAGTTTTTTAAGAATTAATCTCGAACTCATGCTACGGGTAGAACATGTCGAAAATGATGCACGTCTGCATAGAATCAAACATGCCTGCTGAAAGTTGTATACAACACCACTAACTAAACCTTATTCCCGATGAAGTAGCGTCAGATGTATTGTATCATTGGTTATTGGATGTTGAGGGATTAAGGCCACTTTTAGATCTGAAGAAGATGGTGGTATGTAGGAATAGAAAATGTGTAGAAGTAATTTACATCTTCTATGATGTTGAATTAATTTTTATAAGCTTATTATGATACACAGCAACCCAATTGTAATAAATGTTTTTCATAATAGTGCTCTTTGATTAATAAATAAAGAAAGGTTAATTCTTCTAGGGATTCCAACCTTTCAAAGGTTTGTAGTTGTGTCCCCATCCTTTCATTTATGGCATTCATGTCTCCAACCTTTTAACATATGCAAGTGGCATCCCAGCTAATGGAAAATATCTATTTAGACGTCAAATATCCACGCGAGTCGCACATTATGTATGACTCAAAGCGTAAACATGTCCTTTATTGCATAAACCAAACCGTGATTGTTCAACTTATATTAAATGTCGCCCTTTTTGGAACAATTGTACCCTTTTTCAGTCAGGCATCACATGTGTCGAATTGTCATTTAATGTCTAAATAAATGTTTTCCCATCATTTGGAGTACCGGCTGGATAGTGTTAAAAGGTTGGGGACATAGGTGCTCCAAATGGAAGGTTAGGGAGATGGCTACCGCGCTTATGAAAGGTTGGAGACCCATAGAGGTATTTACCCATAAAGAATTATAGATTGGTTAATTGAGACTGTAACTTGAAGAGATGCAAAAGTGCTGATTTTTGTTTTAGGTATAGAAAACATGTTTTAAATGATTATTATGCATTTTCGGATCAGGGAAATAATAATAATTGCTTAGAGAACATTGATGACTGCTATGTTTGTAGATAGCATTCAACAATGTAGTGCATCTTTGGCTATCTGGATAGTTTCTATTAGCTCAAGATTGTTAAATTCTATGGGGCAAAGTTTATCCCAATCATTTGAGCTCTTTTTAAAATGACAAAGTGCCATTTTTTAACCTCCGCTTAATAGTGGAAACATATTTAAAAATGAGAATATTATAAAAAATGAATGGGAACTACTTAAATAAGTAAAGAAAAAATAATGTTGATGTAATAAAGAAATCTTTACTTTTACCTCAGTGAATAAAAATCATAATTACCCTTGGACAGAATATAGATCTTCATATAAACCTGTCTGTCTGATCTTGCCAGATTTGAGGTGATAGAATATGTACTCTTGGAGAACAAAGGATGAGGCACAAAGTAGGAAGAGAAATATCTCCATTTCAACTTAATGACAAGTTGACTTTTTCCATTCCACTAGGAAATTTTTGGAGATATATTTTAAATTGGTGGTATTTGGAATAATGTTGAATATTATGTAAAAAATTGAGTCCTTGCGAAGTAAATATGAATTATATCTTGAAAAAGACTGCTTGAACAAAATGGTGAAATAGGCCATTCGATTAGAGATGCAGGGAGTAAAATTTCGTCTTGTTGTTAAAAGTTTTTAGTAGGAAAAGGAGTTTGAATATGAATGTACATATGACTTCACATGTGCACTAAGATTGGATATGAGCTAGGTCTTAAACCACAGCAGTCTACAGTCTTCAGTTATACAAGATATTCTTAACTTCAAGACTAACATTCATTGGTTTATACTGTTGATTGATGAAGTGCTCAATTTTCTTGGCATGTCTTTCTAACCTTTAGTGTGAATGGAGGACTTATATGGCTATTTACATGCTCTGCAGAGATCTTATAGACATGACAGAATCTTAGAAGGCCTTAATATCACTGAAGAAATGTTAAGTCCCAACTCTGTCACTAGGCAACTTAATGATCAAATTTCTCTAGCAAAGGCATTTCTTGCCATAGCCAAAGAAAGCAACAACCTCCAATTTGCATGGGAGCTTAGTGCCCAAATCCGTAACTCGCAAATCCTTCTCTCTGATGCTGCTTTAAGAAGAAATCCTTTGACTATCAGTGAATCAGAAAGTGCAATTCGTGATATGGCACTTTTACTCTTCCAAGCCCAGCATCTTCACTATGACAGTGCAACCATGATCATGAGAATGAAGGCGAAGATCCAGGGTCTTGAAGAACAGATGAATTCCATTAATGAGAAAAGTTCAAAGTATGGACAAATAGCTGCTGAAGAAGTCCCGAAGAGTTTGTATTGTCTTGGTATTCGGTTGTCAACTGAATGGTACAAGAACTCAAATTTACAAAGAAAACTCAGAGAGAGAAGGGAAGCAGCTATAAAACTCAAAGATAACAATCTCTATCATTTTTGTGTCTTTTCTGACAACATTCTTGCAACTTCAGTTGTGGTAAATTCGACAGCTTTGAGTTCCCAAAATCCCAATAAGGTAGTCTTCCACCTTGTGACCGACGAGGTGAATTATGCTGCAATGAAGGCCTGGTTTGCCATGAACAATTTTAAGGGAGTGACTGTTGATGTTCAAAAGATTGAAGAGTTTACCTGGTTGAATGCTTCTTATGTTCCTGTTCTTAAACAGCTTCAAGACTCTGACACCCGGAATTACTATTTTTCTGGTAGCACTGGTGACAGCCGGACGCCAATTAAATTCAGGAACCCTAAATATCTATCCATGCTTAACCACCTAAGGTTCTATATTCCAGAAGTATATCCCGAATTGAAGAAGGTGGTATTTCTTGATGATGATGTTATAGTTCAGAAAGACCTGTCAGGCCTATTCTCTATAGATCTAAATGGAAACGTAAATGGCGCAGTTGAGACATGCATGGAGACGTTTCACAGATATCACAAGTACTTGAATTACTCACACCCTCTTATTCGTGAACATTTCGATCCTGATGCATGTGGGTGGGCATTTGGAATGAATGTTTTTGATTTGGTCGAGTGGAGGAAAAGGAATGTTACTGGCATCTACCACTATTGGCAAGAAAAGAACGTAGACCGGACATTGTGGAAACTTGGCACCCTCCCACCGGGATTACTGACTTTCTACGGATTGACAGAACCATTGAATCCCACATGGCATGTGTTAGGTTTAGGGTATACAAATGTTGATCCTCAGGTGATAGAGAAGGGAGCCGTACTACATTATAATGGGAACTCGAAACCATGGCTGAAGATCGGGATGGAAAAATACAAGCCCCTCTGGGATAAATATGTTGATTATAGTCATCCTCTACTTCAACAATGCAATGTTCATTAATTTCAGCATGGTTGGCTCTTACTTTTAGACTGAATCTTGAAATGCAGGAACATTTTCGAGTAAACTATGTGACGTAGCAGGGTAAGTGTTGTAACTAATGGTATATGATTGTTCTAATTTCTAGTTGTGATATAATCTTTAACATGTAGTCCAGCATTGAATTTATCCTAGTTTTGTTAACAAAACATTGTACCACAAATTATGATAGCTTGGGATCACTTTGGTCGATGATTGGAAATTCTATCTTCTGGTTACTCATTCAATCACTTTATTATATGAATTAGTGTCCAATATTTTGGTTCGCTATAGATTGATAGCTGGTGTCCAATCTTATGACAAATAATACACATTTTGTTGTGTCCAATCTCCTTTGATGGTGTCATTTCATTAAACTAAATCATCGTGGACTAGGGATGACATGAAGAGTGGGATACTGTCGTTCCAATGAGACATTACTGACTAAGAACTGGCATATGAGGCACGGTCATAGAATTCCTTTGAGCGAGGAATATATCGGCACAAACCACATCTTGTCCCTATATATTAAAAGAGTGATTTTGTGTCGACACTATTCTTATGGATGGTTGCCAAGTTTCTCTCTCTCTTCCAAGTTATTGTTTTGCTTCATTTTTTTGGGGGATCGAATACGGTATCTTTTGACTCCTCTTGTTTTCCTAATCGCAATGCGGCCTTGTTTAACTCATTTCATAAAAAGTGCAATGTTTTGGTATAGTTTTCCTTTTAAAACATGTCTTACATTAAATGCTAAGTTTGAATCGCTACATATGTGCCTCTTATAAACAGAAAGAGAAGTGTTACTACGCAAAAAAGAGTTCCAATCCTTGGTGTATTCACATGCTTATGTTTGATATAAGTGATGTCTAATATAAAAAAATTTAATATCTATTACGTGTTGACACATTTAGCTGACCTCCTAGGGCCCATTGCCCACTTATACCGAACCACGTGGCATCTTATCCGAGGTCTCCAAGTTAACAGGAGTAGATCAGCATATTGTAACCACACCCATGACGTGGCCTAAGTGCTGACCCTAGGCCCATCACTCCGAGGCCCCATCTTATTCGAGGCCCTAAGCGGCACTCCTCTCCAGAGATCCGGTCTTACACAAGGATCCTTCCTGATGGATTGATGGGACACCTATCATAGAGTGAAAGTGTCTTGTCTTCTTATTGTAGTGGCAGAGCCGCCGACTAATAAATGTGTAGCAGGCTAGGAAATCAAATGTGATACCTACAATTTGACATGTAAACTTATGAGATAAAGCCACGTTTACTCCCAATCAAGGGTCATGGTCTAAGTTGTAATACTATAAATACTCCCCATGTATCTCTCACAAGGGTAATGTAAGATTCAACACAAGAACAAATATAACATTCTTTACATTTTACTCTCTTGCAACATACATGAATTCATACTTGCATTATACAAACATCGATTGGTAATTATTGTACAATCGTTATGCAAACATCTCGTCGAATTTTGAACATTCTCTTCTCGCGCCTTTTGCTCCCACACCTACTTTTGCTATTACGTGTCTTAGCGTGATGGACTTTGCGTGGGTGGGTCCGGTATTTGTTGGCAACGTATTCTGGGATCAACAGATTGGCGCCGTCTGTGGAAAATCATACTATAACTACGAGCAACTGTGTAGAGAAAGCTTATCGAAAATAATATTTGGGCATCCTCCTAGAAAAATGATTTGTTATTGGAAAAGAACAAGTGGAAGCCCCATAACAATTATTTGGAGTTGGAACAGAAGAGAATGAGTTCAGATGAGGATATGCCCCTTAGGAGGGTAAGAGAAAATGTGGAATGCCCCCACCGACAGTTGCCCCGACAGTCCGGCATCGACCTCACCACCACCACAGAAGAGGTGGCATGCGGATGGCCGCCCAACTATCGAGAGAGATGGCCACCATGGCCGTGAACATGAGGGACATTGCTAGTTAAAACATGGCCATGAGAGAACTCATGGTTCAAATGCAGAGCCAGGGAGGCTTCCCCATTCCGCCCTATGCACCCCAAGAACATTACGACCAAGATGAGGAAGTTCAAAGCCAAAGGGTTGTACTGCCAGAATACAGCCGAGGCAGTAGCCCCATGGAGAGGGAAGTAGAAATTAACGTTTCCTCCAATTATGTTGCTGGCCGACCCACCGAGGCCCGGCATAACCAGGACAACTTTCCACCAGCATATGAGCCAGAACAAAGACCTAGGAGGTCTAACAGCGTCTTTGATAGAATCGAGGCATAGGCAACAACAATAATAGCAACGCGAGCCTCGGAATAGACCACAACCCCCACCTTCAATGTCTCATCAGCTAGAGGAAAGGCATGAGAATGCCCCCCGTGCTGCTCCGCCTAGAAATAGGAGCCAAAGGAGGGAGAATGAGGCTAGGACCCAAGTTGGACCCTCTCATCAAATACCCAGGTATGAAGCCGAGGAAAATAATGACTCAAATGAGTAGCAGAGGTCCTGTGACTTAGACAACAACAATGAAAACCTGCCATTCTCAAGGGAACTAAGAAGTGCTCAGGTTTCGAGCCACTACATGATGCCCAAAATACCAAAGTATGACGGGAGAGGCAACTCGGAGAAACACCTGAGTGTTTATAAAACTCATATGAGCCTTAGAGGCGCCACCGCAGCTGTGAAGTGTAGAGTTTTTCATTTGACACTTAGTGGAGCAGCTAAAATTTGGTATAGTCGATTGCTATCTGGGAGCATAAAGAGTTGGTCAGAATTCAAGAACACCTTCCTAAAAATGTTTGCGGTGAGCAAAGAGGGAGAAGCCTCTTATCCTGCGCCTTCAAGACATGAGGCAAGCGCATGGGAAATCCCTAAAAGCTTTTTATCATGCTTTACTGACGAAATGACGTACTGCGTGCAAATCACCAATCGTGAGGCTTTATCAGCCCTAAGAGGAGGTTTGAATATGAATACCCTATTTTGGAGAGACGTACATACCCAAGATCCCATCACCTATGATGCCCTGTTGGAAATGATGAGGTGAGAGATTATCAATGAGGAATTAATTGAACATAGGAATTGGGCCAGCAGAGGCCTCCCATCTCATCAGAGAAAGCGCTCCAGGGGACCGACCTCCCACTTGATGGACTACCAGATGAACCCACCTGGTAATGGAAATTCAGGGCAAGCACTTGCCACAACAACTTTGAACGCAGTTCCAACTTTGATATATGAGGATGTCAATCCAACTACTACCGACCCGCAAATAAGAACTTCACAACAGCCCTCCGTAGAGGAAGAGGCTGGGGGCGCGATTCAGGATCTAGGAATAGGCCTAATTAGAACTCCCCGATTATTGTACGTATCACCGCTCCTACTGTCATGACACGTCCGAGTGTCAGGAGTATGCATACCGCAACCGACGGGAACACCCCCAAGACAGGATGAATGAGTCGCCACAGGCGAACAGGCCCCTGCTTAGGAATAACCAGCGACCTAAACGTGAGGAGGTCGCTTCCTGCCAGTGAGATGTATCCTCCCGCCAAAGGGAGCATGGTACGGAGAGACCCAGGGAAGGACACAGGCATCGTGGGAACCTCCATACACGAGAAGAAGCCCCTATTCACGAGATAAATACCATATTTGGAGGCCCCTACTTGGGAGGGGAGACTCGGAACGTAAAACGAAACTATGCCCGAGAGGCTAAACGCCTCCTACTAACCAGTTATATTGTGGACAGTACCTCCCAAAGGAACCAAGTACCACCCATCGTCTTCACTCAAGAGGACTCTGAAGGGGTATCGTCTTCACTTAAGAGGACTCTGAAGGGGTTCACTACCCCCATTGTGATGCACTTGCAGTAAGGGTCGTTGTGGCCCGAAATGGACTCAAGCGAATACTAGTAGACAATGGCAGCTCCGTTAACATCCTGTTCGGATCCACCTTTGACAGATGATCCTGGACCACGAACTAACGCTCACCACCACTCCTCTATATGGATTTACCGAAGATAGTATCACTCCGAGAGGAAAAATAACGTTGGCGGTAGAGATGGGAGAATCCCTCCAAACCACTATGAACTTCATGGAATTCTTTATTGTAGATAGTCGGTCAGCTTACCACGGAGTCTTGGGTAGACCAGCCTTGAAGGAGTTAGGGGTCGTCATTTCCATCCACCACTTAAGGATGAAACTCCCAACCGAGAATGGGATAATAACAGTGAGAGGTGACCAAAGAAGATCCAGAAAATGCTACTTGAGCTCTATTAGAAAGGTTAAGCCCCGGGACGTACACGTCATCCTGACTGATGTGGATATGGCAGACGTCCCAAACAAGGCCCCTCCCGAACGAGAGGATGTTGACATGATCGACGTATTTCTCGAGCAGGAAGAAGTCTCCATAATCGATGAAATCGATCCCTGTGTAACTGAACATGAACCCCAAGCAACTCCGGTTGAGGAACTAAAAAGCTTCTCGGTCGACCCCGCGTAGGTGTAGGCCTGGGCGACGACATGAAAGAAAAATTGAAAGACTTACTCTGCAAGAACCTTGATGTCTTTGCTTGGAGGCATGCGGATATTGTAGATATAGACCCCAAGGTCAGCTGTCACCATCTAAAGATAGATCCTAAAGTTGCCCCGCATCGATAGAAGAGAAGAGCCCTCAATCCAGAAATGTATGAGACTTTGAAGGAAGAAGTGCAGAAACTAATCAAGAATGGCTTCATCAGAGAGGCCATCTACCTGAAATGGGACTCGAACCCGGTGCTAGTCAAGAAACACAACGGTAAATGGAGGGTATATATCGACTTCACAAATCTCAACAAGGCATGCCCCAAAGACAGTTTCTCACTTTCGAGAATTGATCAATTGGTTGACTCCATCGTCGGGCATGAGTTTCTGAGTTTTATTGACACCTACTCGAGCTATAATCAAATACCCATGTACCCGGCCGATGAGGAGAATACCTCCTTTATCACTGATAAAGGCCTTTACTGCTACAAGATGATGCCCTTTGGGTTGAAAAACGCTGGGGAAACCTATCAAAAGCTTGTCAACAAAATGTTTGTGGACCTTATCAGTAAGATAATGGAAGTCTACGTTGACGATATGCTTGTGAAAAGCCTGAAGGTGAACGACCATGTGATGCACCTAAATGACACTTTTTGAACCCTCAGAAGGTACCGAATGAAGCTCAACCCTCTCAAGTGCGCTTTTGGCGTTGCCTCTGGCAAATTCCTGGGGAACATGGTCAACCAAAGAGGGATCAAAGC